GTATGAGAGATTAATTATTAACAGGTGCATAATTTCATTCAGAGGGGGGAGGGTATTGTGAAAAGGTAAGAAACATCTGTTGAATTTCTGTCTGACACATGGCTATTAGATCATGTATAGGCAGAAACATAAAGTTATAATACTGCTGTGTCTGGTTTGAGCATCTTAAAAATCCCACTGAAAAAGACAGAAAGTAATTAGTTTGTATTACTAGATCGTAATGCAGTCCTAAAAAGATCCAAACCCTGCTAAACTCATTAGTTTCAATGGACTTATAAGGGTGTAACTCTAGTTAGGATAGCACTCTTAGGGGTCTGAAGCTGCAAAAGATGCACGTTCCCATTTCTGCAAACTAATATTGATGTAAAATATGCAAATTGACATGGTTCCAACTGACACAATTTTTTATTTTGCAGGTTGCATTTTAAATTTTCCCCTTGCTGTGTGATGAAGACTCAGAGGAGCACACAGTGATCTAAATCTGGTCTTGGTCAGCTAGGTGCTTCATTCATTGCATCCTCTGGGGGTTTTTTTAAGCAAAATCTTTCAAAAATGTTCTCAAACACATTTCCTGAGAACAAATGTACAGTCCAGTGGCACGAAGGAGAAGGGGAGAATACCTGCAGGGGAATCCAAAGACAAAATCATCCAGAACGTTTCACTAGGGATGGGCACGAACCAGCTCTCAATTTAAAGTTCATGATGAATTTTGGCTGGTTCGTGGTTTGCGAAGTTCATGGCAGATCAACCGCCAACAACTTCCCATGAACCTTTCCGCTGTTTGTGGCAGTTTGTGAATGGATACATTTCCAGACAGACTGTCTCCACTCAACCTAAATGTTTCCAAAACTTCAAAGCAACAGGTGGGGCAGAATTTGGAGTGCATGTAGAAGACCATCTGGAGGAGGTCAAATGCAATTTGATGATGATGAAGAAGAGGAGATTGGATTTATACCCTGCCCTTCACTACCCAAAGGAATCTCAGAGCAGTTTACAATCTCCTTTCCCTTTCCCCTCCCCACACCAGACATCCTGTGAGGTAGGTGGGGCTGAGAGAGCTCTTTCAAGGACTGCTCTTGAGAGAACAGCTCTGAAAGAACTTGTAACTGACCCAAGGTCACACCAGCAGCTGTGGAGGAGTGGGGAATTGAGCCCGGCTCTCCCAGATTAGAGTCCACATTCCTAACCACTACACCAAACTGGCTCTCTATGTCTCTAGCTTGCACAGGTTCTGTTCGATACACTCCTGAACCTGCACTTGTCAAGATGCCCGCCTGTCAATGAGTCAAAGTAAGCTGGTACAGAGTACTGGTGAGAAAGTGGTATTTCCCATCTTATGCTTTGAACCCCCCCCCCAAGAGAGATTATACTGGTGAGAAAGATAAGGGTTCATTTATTCCTGATTTAAAGGCTGACTTTCCCCTTGCTGCTTCTAGTTGTGGAGCTGAGTTGGTGCAAATATGATTGAAATAGCCTTGGAGAACATTTCCAGCAGATAATAAGTGGTTGGGGAAGGGTTAAGCACCCCATCCTACCTCCTAATTCTGCCCTGCAAATCCATCTCTCCAGCTCCTGTAGGAGCCTTACAAAAGACAGCAGTGGAGTTGGTAGTACCGAAGTCCACTTCCTAACATGGCAATAAGCTAGCAGCAACTAAGTTACATCTGAGCTAAGTTTGTTCTCCTGTCCTTGCAGGTATTAAAAGGCTGGGCATGCTCGGAGTTGTGAGCTGAAGGGAAAGTGTCAGGCAGCCTCATTGACTTGGAACAGCCTAGGAGGTGTTTGCTTAAATTGATGGATTGTATTTTATTAATTTTCTCTGAGCTGCTTTAGGGACCAAAAGCATCATATAGTACTGTGAATAACTGAACATGTAGCTTTGGCATGCTCATTTTCAGTCATGTTCAGTGTTCCTGAACCATAAACATTTCTTATGCCTACTCCAAACAATAAATGGCCAGGTCTTCTTCTTCCCATTGTTGTGAACTTACATGTGCCGGAGTTTCACGGAAATAACGGAACATCCAGACTGGCAAGTAAAATCACAGTTAGGATGGAGGGCTGTAATTATGGTCTGTTTCGCATATGCATCTGGGTCACTTAATTAATGAAACCTCAGGATGACTGGAAATAAGAATAGGCCATCACAGCTAAAAGTCTACTGAGGCTACCATTCTAAAGACGGGGCCTGTAGCTCTCCTGGAATTACAAACAATTGCCAGACTACATAAATCTGTTTACCTGGAAGAAATGGCAACTGTGGAAGAAACATTGTGTTATACCACAAAGTCTGGCCTATGAAGCTACAGGGTCTAAAAGAAGGGGAAGTCCTGGAGTTATATCACATATCCACTGAGTTCCCTTCCCTCTCCCAATTCTGCCCTCCCTAGGCACCATCCCCGAATACCCAGACATTTCCCAATTAGGGTTGTAATTAGGGTTGCCAGTTCTGGGTTTGGAAGTTTTGGAGGCAGAGCCTGAGGAGAGTGGGGGGAGAGGAGGGGAGGGAACTTCCAAACCCAGAACTGGCAACTCTAATAGACCTCCCCCTCCAAGGCAGCCATTTTCTCCCGGGGAACTGATCTCTGTTATCTGGAGATCAGTTGCAATTCTGGGAGATCTCCACATAGGGATGCCAGCATCCAGGTGGGACCTGGGGATCCCATGGAATTTCAACTCATCTCCAGATTACAGATATCAGTTCCCTTGGAGAAAGTGGATGTTTTGGAGGGTAGACTCTATGGCATTGTACCTCACTGAGGTCTCTGGCCTCCTCAGACTCCATCCCCAAATCTCCAGGAGTTTCCCAACCTGGATCTGGCCGCCCTACCCCTCCATCCCCAGCCAGTGGCCAGGAGGGACTTGGCAACCGTACCCACCTGGGGACTGGCAAACCCAATGTGCACGTCAATAATTGTGTGAACAGGATTCAACTGTACAAAATCAAGTGGTGTACATATGTGCATGAACAAGCTCTGCAATCTCCATCTTTTGTTTGTTTTTTGGTAACACTGACCAATATTTACTTAGTTGTCCATAATAGGTTGTTCATCAGATGCCTGAAATTTACTGGTTTGGATGAACTAAAGACTTCACCTTAGCCATCCTTGAAACTATTTAACCAAGTTACATTGGACTATAGAACATTAATAAACATACATGCTATGTGTTCTACTGCAGCTTAGCTGACAGTTCATTGGCAAATAAGACAGCCAGCACAGGCAGATAAACAAGAATTTTCATTGCCAGAAATCTGTATTCTTCCAGCCACCATTAATTGTTTCTGGACAACAAGAAGGAATGCACTCATTAATACTAGATTCAGAGAAATAATATAGTAAAAACCAGAGCTGAAGCCCTGTCTGTGAAGAGTGACGCTGAAAAATGACTGCTATTATAGAAATATATCTTAATGGTTTCAACAGCCACTGTCCTCTTTTGTGCAAATTTTAAAGCCATTATTATCCCCTGCCCTAATCACAGGAATCAAAATGTTCTCCCAGCAATTGATGATTCTAAATCAGTACTTATTCCTCCAAATGAATTTATTCAGCATGATGTATTTCTATTGTCATGTGTTTATAATGTGAACACATAATAAAAATGCCAGCCTTTCTTTCTGAGGGGGCTTAGGCCACAACTCTAGTCAGACAGCAGGGTGCAAAATGGCTCCAGTGTAATTTTCCCTCCTTTGACTTCTTGGCAGCAAACAGCTGATGACTAGGGCATACTGTGCTGGGACTTGCTTCTATGGTCCCTCCCCTCTCCAAACCCCACCCTCCCAAGGCTCCACCCCCAAATCTCCAGGAATTTCCCAACCCAGAGTTGGATTAGAACAGTAATGTGAAATTTCTTTAAGAAATCTGAGATGCGAGACAAAGATCACCCAATTCTCTTGCTACATATAGTGGGGAACACTGTTGCCAGCTCCGGGTGGGGCTATTCCTGGAGGTTTGGGGGGTAGAGACTGGGGAGGGTGGGTTTTGAGGAGCGGAGGGACCTCGGTGGGATATAATACCAGGGGTCATTTCCTGCAGGAGCGCACAGGAGCGGAGCTCCGGCAGTAAAGAGCCCAAGGGGCGTGCACATGTGACAAGCCCCACCCCCTGCTCCCAGCAGCCCTCAGTCAGAGCAATAAGCAGCCAGGTAAGTTGCAGAGGTCCCCCTGCCCCCCCCCCGTCCAAAACAGTCCAGTGGCACCTTTAAGGCCAAGTTTTATTCCGGTACAAGCTCTCCCTCCTCTGTGAGGGCAGATCTGCATGTTCCCCACCCCCCAATAGCTAGCAATCCAAAACAGTCCAGTGGAGCCTGAGCGGTGGGTGTTGCCTTCTGACACACTTCCAGTGATGTCATGGGGTCTGGCATATGCAAATAAGTTATGCTAATGCATTATGTTGATGAGCTCCTGCACCTCTTTTTCTACAAAATGACCCCTGTATAATACCATAGAATGAACCCTCCAAAGCACCCATTTTCTCCAGGGGAACTGATCTCTGCCATTTGGAGATCAGTTGTAATTCTGGGAGATCTTCGGGTCTCACTTGGAAGTTGGCAACCCTACTTTTAGTGCCTTTGTGATATGCTAATGCCAGGCAAACTAACAACTTTTTCTTGCCTTGCTGGAACAGAGTTCAAAGCATTCCAATAGCTTTGTTTCCTGAGCAGCTGGAATATTTACAGACATCCAGTCTCAGCTCCGGCTGAGTCCTGAGATTTTGCTACCACAAATGCAACACAATATAAACTGCCCTGAAGCAGATTATTTTTTTTCAGATGCAAGAATTTATTTATCAGTCTCTTTTTAAAAAAACAAAAACAAGTCAGACCAAAGGGCCTGACAATCATATACCAAAGGAGTTTGCATTCTCTGAAAACACAGGAGAAGCACAAGGTGGGATTTTAAAACAGCTAGCCCAGCATTAAGTATAGTTGTCAGTTTTACCCCTTAATAGCCTCAGGAAATATAGAAAACATCAGACAACCCTTGTCACTTCTCCAGTCTAAGAAAAATTGGCAGAATCGAGAATGCGGAAATCCTGGAACGGCTGCTGCTTCATAAGCACTCCATTGCTGACGACAGTTAGCATCTCCAGACAGCCCACCATGACACAACACCAATTCAGATAATGCCTAACAAAATGCAGCCTCTTCCCCAGCTTCTGGAGACAGCCTTCTTCAAACAGTTTCTCCGGTTGGCTAACATTGTCAGCACACTCCATAGCAGCCTCTTTGCAGCAGCTTTTAGGGGCAAAGACGGGGCCTGTTTGGAGACGGTTTGGAAGGGCCAGCACAGACCAATCCGTGTGATTGTAGATCCCACAGCACTGCAGCTGCTGCTGGATTGCATCCACAGCCTCATTGTTGGGGTAATTTGGAACTGTCCTGTTGTACTCATGAAACAGAGAGCTCACGCTGCTTGTCAGGTGATAAGCTTCCTGAGTGGAATAGAGCTGGGTCACAACGGCAGAGGAGGCTTCCAGGCAGAAGAGGACCACTAACAGGTACATCAGCGTTCCCTGATGGGGTCGAGAATTCTTGACATGGGTAAGCATTGCCAAAGCACCTGTCAGGAACAGCAGAAAAGCCGTCACGAGGGCCAAACAGCCTGGCAGAAGAAAGAAGGGATTCTGAAAGAAGGCTTTGTAGCTCTTGTAGGTAATGATCACAAAGGCACCACCAAACAGGAAAGCCACAGCAGTTCCCCAGAGACAGAAACCAAGCAGGGTCAGCAAGACTTTGGCAAAAGCTCTGCTCCGGGTCTCAGTGGTGCACAATAATGGGGGGCTGAAACTGGAACTGAAGCTTCCCGCCTTCATCCTAGAGATGATACGCATCTATATCACCTTTAAAAAGAAAACTTCCAGGTACAGATAATGGAAAATTGAGCCCAGATCCTTGTCCAAGTAGAGGATGTGTATGCAGATGGACACAAGGTTCGTGATCTGGCATTATAAAGAAGGTACTTGTCCTGCAAAGGCTTATGGGCCTTTTTGCCACTCAGAACCTCAATGCTGATTTGTAGCAGGTGCACAAGTAGTTGCAGGATTAGGACGACAAGTGTGAAGGAATCACACCTGAGCAACTATACCTTGGGTTGCCAACCTCCAGTGGGGCCTGGAGAGCTCTTGAAATTACAATTGATCTCTGGACAACAGTTCCCTTGGATAAATCGACCAGTTTGGAGAGTGAACTCTGCAGCATTGTGGTCACTCCCCTTCCCAAACCCTGTTTTTCCTGGGGTCCACTTCCAAATCTCCAGGAATTTTCAGAACAGAAGCTAGCAACCCTAACCTCGTAACCCTCCCAGATGAAAGTAACCCACTTGCTGTGCAATAGCTTATTTTTTGATGCCTACCTGGTAGAGCTGCCAACTGACCAGGAAAAAGAAGTCAGTATGGCTTGCTTTTTTTGGCTCTATAAGCAAGTTAAAGTGCAGTGATCAACACATTTATCAGAGTGTGGTGTTGTGAAAAGTACAGCTATGAGGGCTAGTTGAAAAGGTGGCAGTTCCTGCTGGAGAGAGGAAAATTCAAACCTGCTGTAGGGTCATAGAGCAGCCAAATATGGGCAGTTAACACACACACACAACCACAGAATTGGTCACAAGAGCTTAGAGTTTCAGATCTTATGCTCTAATGTTGCCGTGATAAGAATTTATAATTTAGAGACATCCCCTTACATCAGATACAACTGATAAGAAATGGTAGTATGTGGATATGCCCTAAAGGGAGTTGAAGGGTTATAGAGCCCAAAATATTATCGGTTGGTTTCACTGAAATCTATTTTGGAGTAAACTGTGATTGCTTTAGCCTTTGTAATCCTGCATATGTCAGAGATGTGCTTGCCCTTGGGGACTGCTGCTTCTGCTACTAGAGCAACTGTGCATTTAACAATTATGTAGGAAGCAGAAATTCAACAGGTATGGCTTTCCTTAGCTTTAGTGATATTGTAATGGGAAAGACTTGTCCACTATTTTCTGTGCATTGTATAGAAGAAAAACTTCTCTTTTTTGCATATAGAACAGGATAAGAATGTACCCCCCCCCTTTTACCTCTTTTGAGAATTTAGTCGATAATGTTTTTTTTCTCATTGTTGTGCCCCTATACTATTCCTGGAGAAGTTGGCATAACAATGGGAAAGACTTGTCCACTATTTTCTGTGCATTGTATAGAAGAAAAACTTCTCTTTTTTGCATATAGAACAGGATAAGAATGTACCCCCCCCTTTACCTCTTTTGAGAATTTAGTCGATAATGTTTTTTTCTCATTGTTGTGCCCCTATACTAGGCAAATACACAGTTGCTGTGTTTCTGTGATTCATGTATGTGTTTCTGTGAGCCAGGCTCTGCTAAACACATAGGTGTCAACCCCCTTTCTCTCTTGGCCTAACCTACTAAACAGTGTTGTTGTGAGGAAAAAAATGGAGGAGTGGAGAACCATGTAAACCACAGAGAATGGCTTTTCAAATACATGGACCCCTAGTCATGGAGGGCTTCAAAGGTGAGCACCACCAACTTGATTTGAACCCAGAAACATCAGAAATCCATGTAGAAATAATAAAATAGGGGTAATATGAGCCCTCTGGTCTGCTCCTAACAATGAAGAAACTACAGAATTTTGAAGAGAGAGTAATTTCCAAGTTGTCTCCAAGGGGGCAACCACAGGTAGAATGTGTTACATCACTGAGACCAGATCATTCAAATGCTGTGTGCATTCCCTCTTCCCTATCAGGTTTTTAGCTTCAAGAAACTGAGTTGGAAAGTCTGGTGTGTGCATATGTGTGAGTGCAAGAATATTATTTAAATCATCCCCAATTTCTCCCCCAAAGTCAAACAATGATAAAAGAAGGCTCTTTATTGCTAGGGATGGGCCATGAGAAAACAGATGGGAAATGTTAGATGGGTTGTGGAATCTGATGTGAATCTTAATCATTCATGTAATTCTGTAAAATACTTGGGGAGGTACTTGCTGCTGACAGAGAGAAGAGAAGAGCTAGAGGATAGGTTTCCACCCCTTCAAACACACCTTTCTCCTTATGGTAGTTTATGCAATTACATAGCTAACATTTGTTTGACAATGCACCCTCAAAGTCTCCACAGATCACCTCTCATTTTTGTAAGCCTTTGATGCATACATTTATACAGTTAGACAGCGTCTATCCTAATGCCCTGCAACATATTTAATGTGAGGGAAACAATGAAGCCATGGTGCTTATGGTCCTAAAGCTTGTTATCGCTAACTGCCACTCTGGATCAGGCCATTAATTTTGTAAGTAGGATTTTAAGGACAATCCACAGCCAAAAAGGAGGATAAATAATCTGACATGGTCTTCTACAGAAGAGGAAATGGGAATGAAAGTATATTTACCTAAACACTATTATATATGCGCATGCATAAATATCTGGAGGAACATCCTGCATGGAAGCATCTACCACCCCAAATATTAATAATTTCATCTCTAAACTCTTCTCTTAGAGTTTGTTGGAAGTTTCTTCTTAACAGGGACTTTGCAGTTTGTCTCAGGATTGCACTTTGGATAGGCATGTGCAAGACTACCTTTTCTTTCTTTCAAAACACTTTACATTTCACCCAAGCAGAAACTTCCAAATTTGCCTTAGAAGAAACTCAGTTGCATTTAAGGGTGTGTAGAGCCATCACAGCTGGGAAAAGCTAGCTGATTATATATGAACCTCTAAAGCTGCCTTAGACCATTGGTCAGTCCTGCCCAGTACTGTTCCTCACCAAGGCCTCAGGAAGAGAAAGGCCTTTCACAATCCCTTCTACCAGACAACTTTTGACTGAAGATGGCAAGGACTGAAACTGGCACAGTTTCCATGCAGAACAAAACCTTGGCAAACTCTTTTCATTATTTAAACTTAACCAGGTTGTAGCCAAAATATTTGTTTTTCCCCCTCAACATTTTTCTTGGATGTTTTTCTTGAGCAAGAAACTCTAGAAGACTGAAGAGATGAATGTTCCCTGCTCTTTTTTCTTTTAATCATTTATATTGTTGCCAGTAGTCTTGGTTATCCACATTTCCTTGTTGCTTTTTCTAAATTTGTTTGCATTGTGTAATGTTGTGTCGTGTTTATTCATGATGTGTGCAGTATTTATTCACTCAATGTATGACTGTCATCTCTCCTTATATTATATATATTTCTCTTTTTGTGTGACTCTTTTCTGAATATTCCACATGCTCCCAAATAGATTGGGTCCCTGAACTGCCACTCAGAAACGGGTCCCTGGCCACTGGCTGCGTTGCCTTCGGCCCACACACAGAACTGGCGCTGGCCAAAACTTTTCTCATTTCCTCAGAAGGTGGAAGCTCTGGCACTTCCCCTTCGTGCTGCTGCTGCGCCCGGCCCAGCCTCGCCCTGCACTGAAGCCGGTGCCCACAGGAAGCACTCGCCGCTGCCTGCCCCTGCCCGCTGCCCACTGCTCATTTCAGGAACAGGAGCTGCACTCACCCTGCTCCAGTCCAGGCAGGCGCTGCTACCATCATGTAAAAGCCTGCCCCCAATGTCATCGGGCCGTGCTTCTGATGGGCACCGCCGCCTTGGTCTGCTGCCCTAGCACCTTCAAAATGTGGAGGGGCAGGCCAGGAAAGCCAACAAAAGAAGTGCCAGTATTGCGGGGCCAATCCAGTGCGGATGTCATTAGCTGTGAGCCATCGTCACATCCCTTCCCTGCCTCACAGCAGCAAGTGGCTTCCTCCCGCCCCACCGCCACCAGCCAGGCTGCCTGCAGAGGCATGGCAGAGCTCCGGGGGCCTCTTGGTGCCACGCACCCTGACCCTGCTTGGCGGGTTAAGCACAGCCACCTCTCCTCCCTCGCCTCTGTCCCTTGGGTCCAGATCGTGCTACTGGGCTGCGGAAGTGGCTGAAGGCATCAAGTACCACTCCCCAAATAGTCATCCCATTTCTATACTGGCAGTAGCTGCCCTCAGCGGTTCTAGCTCAGCTGTGGCCACTTGTGCGCTGGCTTGCAGCATCAGCTGGTAGTCGCAGGGGGGAAAGCCACATCATGAACTTCCTGAAAAGCCGCCTCTCTCTCCCTCTCCCCCATCCCCAACCTCCAGAACGGCCTGAATGTGCTGCAGGGAGGGGCAAGGGCAAACCCAGCAGGCACAGAGAGAGGGAGGCTGCAAGGACCCCCCCGCTGCAAGCCCTTGGGAGCCTGTCACATGTTACTTTAAAAGAAAACTGTCCCCCTAAAACAACTGCACGTATGAATTTAACATGCAACCAGGTTGCACATGGATGCACAGGATCAAGGCGCTAGCATTTTCTACACGGCCTATTGTCTGGCAAACGCTGAGACACCCCGACCTGATTTGTGAAATGGCTTTCAGCTTATAGAGATCATGCTCATACAGGGGCACTCTCCCAGAGCCTCTTTCTAGAGCTCGTTGTATTCACTTCCACATTGGACCTTATTCCTAGTATATGTATAAAGCTGATTTACTGATGCACAATTCAACATTGAAAAATGCATCTACTTGGTAAAATTAGGTGAAAGGAAACAAAGACAGATGTAAAATTAAGAATCTTGGTTTCAAAACACAATAGAGATGAGAAATTTGAAACCCTTCCTCTTCAAAATGTTACTTAAAACAAAATTTAGTGCCAGGTCTCATGGCTTCCTCCTGCATGCTCCACCAAGTCCTTTGCTGCCTCTTCCAGAAGCCTCAACTTTGTGGTAAATTAAAATATAGGTGGTGTTTGTGGAAGAACTCTGCACACTAACTCCCAAGTTCTGGGACATTCTTCCTTTGAAATCAATGTGAGTCTAAGCCTAGCCATACTCCAATGGTGAGATTTTTGTTTTGTTTTTGG